TATGTTTTAAAGAAAATGGAGTCGTGCAATTGCTAGCTCTCCTTATTTATCACCGATGACGTAGTGAGCTCTACTGTTACACAGTTTTTATTAATAATTTGCTGTGGGACTGAGTGACTGTGGACATAAACGAAACCGAATCGCGGAGTCCTGCGGCCCTGGGCATTACATAGTTTTCTTACGGCATAATATTGAACCTGGTGTCTTCGGTAATTAATTTAAAATTTTCCTGTATCAACCGGTTGGATTACGGATATGTATCATTTTTAGAGTCGTAATAGTGCGCGAAATACCTCCATATCACCGTCGAATACAACGAGTGGATCTTCGGGCACGGCGACAACGGCAACTACTGCGTCTTCTGGTAGCGCTGCTACCTCTGCCACCACCACCGCTGTCGCATCCGTCACTAGCGCTGTTACCTATGCCACAAGCGGACGTCTCTCATCCGCCGAGGCGGAGGCGACTTTGCAGGAAATGGCTGCATCCGTCGCCCACCTCGGCAATCGAACAGGAGCGAAGGAGGCGGAGGCTGACGGAGGTAGTGTGACCTCGTCCTGCACTTCCGGTTCCAGCGTTGGCCTGCCTCCGCTCTACGAGGAGGCTGTCCAGTTGCTCTCCGAACAACAACAGCAACAACGGAGGCGGTCTCCTTTTGCCGCTGGTGATGATTTGTAGTTCTCTTTTAAATTGCCTAGAGTGTACACCCGCGCACACAGGCGTCATTCCCATCCTTATTTCTGATCTATTTTTTCCCTCCTGTCTGTAGTTTTGTGCGCGCCTGTTTCAAAAGTTCTGCCTCTGCTTCTGACTGTGAACTTTTCTTGTCCCCGCCCTTGTGTGTGTGCGTACATATGTACATAAGCATTATTGTTAAGCGTAGATTTATCTAATATCAGAGGAGGAATAAATAGGTGAGGAGTGTTGATCGAGAATGTACCGAGTTTGTTATGCTTTAGCCATGCATTCTGGCTGTTTGGGGTAGGGGAGGAGGGGGGGAAGGAGGGCGGTTGGACGCCAGACGCCGTAGTCGGTGATGCAAGCCGCCATGCTGGTCAAAATTCCGTAGCATTTTGGTGTCCAAGGGCATAAAAAGCTCTGAGAGTGTCAATAGGTTAATGAAAACATTATCAATGGGGGTTTAGGCTTCTGTGAGCCAATTAATATTGCGTCGTTGATGAAAGGTGTGGGTAAGGCATCAAGTGATTTCCACATAATATGTGTAAGGTTTCGCCCTTTGCATCAGTGACATTTTAAAGTTTATCCAAGCCCTAGAAAAAAAACTCATCAAATTTCTGATCAAATTCTTGCAATAAGTGATAAATGAGAAAATTGGGCAAGTTCCTGCACTTAGTACGGAATTATAATGCTCACTTTAGTGACACTTTTCCTGCACACTAGAAACCAGGAAGGCAAGACTTTTTATTCAAACTAATGACACGAAATGAGTGGATGTGCTGCCAATTTTAGTCATCTTAAATTAGCCACTCACCATTCTTCTACGGAACTTGCACTTTGTCTCTAACATTAAAAAAGCGTTTTCCTAATTTTTAGCTTTTATAAGCAAGCCTGCATAAAAAAGAATCAGCACAAATAAATTTGCTTGTTACACAAATTTTGGTTTGTTTTAACGGACAAATCAGGCTTAATTCAGTCCAACCTTAGAAGCGATCATATTATAATAACCCAGAGCTAATATGATTGCTTTTAAATACGCATGCCTTCTGACAATCTGGAGTATCACTTTATGTCACTCGTCTCAAGGTCTTTTAAAGTGGAATATTTTGGCTGGCGAGACGAACGAAATTTTGGCATTTCTTGAGTCGAGCGGCTCTACTATATCAGTGTACCCACCGTTGCGACTCTCGCTTCAACAAGGTGATTTGTGCTTAATATATAAGTAGAAATTTTTAACACCACTTAGTTAACGATAATCTTTCAAGAGTTTAGGGGAATTTGCTTGCAATTATGACAATTTTAAGGACGCTTTAGAGCATATTTTTTCAGACCTTTCCATATGCGGATTTCATGTTGAACCACCATCCCTGTCTCTAAGACTGGGTCCTTCGAAGAACACATCAGATGCATATGAAATTACTATAAGTGCGAATGGAACCGAAGAACTTGATGGATTGACCTTTCAAATTCAAGCAGCTACTTGTCAAGAACCTCCATCTCTTTCCCCCAAAAGGCCTCTTTATATATACGTCAGTTCGCAAAATAATAGATGCAGTGCTTTAATTTAATTTGGTACTTATACTAGCGTGCTGTTTATTGTGAATTTTAAAGTATTTTCTTAATGGGATTTTGACGTTCAGCTTAAATTTAGTAAGTTATTTTGGCAAGGGTAATCATTGGTTTGCCTCTTTAAATATCCAATGTACTTTATGAGTAACATTTTCTTGCTACAGCACTACTTTTTGTTTGTTGTATTTTAGGTTGCTAAACCAAATCACCCAAAATGGACTAAGCCAGTGTTTTGCGTGAAAGTACCAACACATTTAACGCCCTTTACCACATTGGCGAATCTTTCTGAATTTGCAATTGCACCCATAAACTTCTCCATTTCTAACTTTAGTGTTGAAGGTAGCGAGAGTTCTCACTTTTTGGTTGACGAAACAGGTAACTGAACGCATTTGAATGTGGCATGATTTTACTTCATTACATCACTAACAGTTGGGTCCATGAACTCGGTTTATTTTTCAGTTTTGTGTTATGGATTTAACAGATAAAAACAGCAGTTTTAAAACAAAATAAAATGATTTTTGAAAAATGACGCTGCCTTTAGCCATGGTTCTGTTATCTTTTTAATTAATACTCCTTTTTTGAGGTATGCCTTCTATTTGCTAACAGTTTGTGTAGGAAAGTTTATGATAGCTATCTAAAAGAAAAAAGTGACACTGTTTTGCAAACTGTATTGAACAGACTTTATTTTAGAACACCACTGATTAATTTTTACTCTACTTAAATCCGATTTAATTGTACAATTATTCCATTCAACACATTTTTTATGGCCCCTAAAGATCGGAAGAGCTTAAACAATTCCTTAAATATTAGTGTGCATTTCTTAGAAGGATAAACAGAGCCACTTGTCTTTTATCTCCAACCCCAATTTATGAATGGCTGAACTACACGTACAAGCATTGTTTAACGCTTTTTTCTTTAGGTGCTTTGCGAATTCGCGATACAAGTTTTGATGCTGAATCGGGAACGATAAGTACCCTACAAGTGAGGGCGTTGTCCAATCACGAACTGCCTTTATCCTCAGTTCCCGCTCTTATCATCATATCGTACTGTTCACCACAATGGACTGGTACGTTGAATGAAATATCGCCCGACAAGTATTGTGTAAAACAACAATTAGAATGAATACCTAGTCGTTTTTCCTTTTTTGCTTAATTGTTACCTAAGTGACCCAAAAAGCTGAATATTAACTCAAGTGATTAATGAAAACAATACGATTATTTCTACGATGAAGCGCTTCGTATGCTTGTAAGAGTAAGTGCGATGAATAGCCTTCGTGAGAAACCGTATAAAACCTTATAAATTAATTGGCGGAGAAATATGTAAAGGAGGCGAGAGGCAACATCTGGTTCCTATAGTACCGATTAAATGTCAATAAGATTTTTTACCCTTCAACAGCTAACTCTTCTTATGAATTCTTGAGTTCTTAGGCAAACATAGGATATAATTCTACTTTCTCGTTTTTAAACTTCTACTCATCCTATTTTGTGTATATCATAAGTAACCTGTCCCTCTGAGTTAGTGATACTACTGAAATTCTCGCCTGTTCAAAAGCTAAAGTCATTAATTTAGCGATGGCAAATTAATCGCCTAATGGTCTGATAAAATTTAACTTTTTTACTATTATGCTTCGAAAGTGCTCCTTTTCAGTATAAGTCTATAAAGATTACTTATAAGAAACACTCCAGAAAGACGGATAATATTACTACGCGATCTCGAAGTGTTTCTTAACACGGACAATGTACGCAGATAACATGTTAGTAAGCTGAGAACTTCGGTGCCACCAAATTTTAAGATAGCAGTATTCGACGATTCATTATTAGAGTTGACTGCACCCTCGTCCCTGTTTGGAGATGGGTTTGCGGGTATTTTTTCCGACCACGGTCTTGGGGACATATAAAAGGCCAATTAAGGTGCCTTAATCACGACCGCCTTTTTTATGACGCCTGTGATACGGTTAGTGGATCTGATAGCGTGCGTTTCGCGCCTAGAATTGGCGTTTATCTCTCACCCTAGATCCATAAATCTTTGCCTTTTCTACTATCTGTCGCCCGATGACTGTGGGAACGAGATTTCCACTAGACTGACTAAATTTGCTCCAGAAATTTGATTCGTATATATACACACTTTTTTATAATTAATGGGAGTCCATTGTAGTCAAACTATCTGTCAAGATCTCATTCCCAACTACGAAAAAATTCATCGGAACTTTTATATATTGCTCTCCACTACATAGGCATTTCACCAATCTTTGAGCACAAGGGAGAGGACCTGAGGCCATTGGCAAGTGCAGGCCTCGAAGACTGTTCTGAGGACCCAGACCTGCAAAATTCTGCAGTCTTGCAAGTCCTACCCAGTCTCAGTTGTACAGTAACTGGTGCAGAGGCAATAGTCGAGTTGCTTTACGAGAAACCAGCGGTTTTGGCTGGGAATGCTCAACCGTGTCCGCTGGACCAATACCGACTTCGAAAATGCGGTAGATATTTTCTGCTTTTATTATAAAGAGGGACTTGAAATTTACCCTCCATAGTCCTTGAAAATCAAAAATGTAACTAACTGTCTATTTTATTGTCGTGCAGAAGTCAGAAGGGGTTAGTCTTGGCAAAAAAGTGAAGAATTTTGTCATAATCTTTTTGCGCTTTTCCACCTAAGTTATTTTCAGTAAAAGCGTTAAAAACGAAGGATGTCTAAAGTGTTGACCTCATCATCAAGCATTTAGGCAATAAAAAGGTTCCACTTTTCGTTATAGGACTCTTTTCCAAGAGTTTTGTGTAAATTGGATAAACATTTCCAAGTTTTGCGTTAACTAATCAAAAAAGGAGAATCCAGTGCATGATTAGATGAATTTTAAATCACTTGAATAGGGGAAATCCGTTTGCGAACCACGGATTCCAAAAAAGTCGGCCCTGTCAAACTATGAGAGCACTTTACCAACAAGGTTATCAAACCTTTGATAAACTGAGTTTAAAGTTGCGTGATTTTATTGTATAACCAGCTTGGTTACAATCTCGCTTTATTGACTGTGTCGCCATTGATGTACGGCGCAGGAGAACTGCGCAGCAAGAACTTTTGAGCCCACATTCTTACTGCCACACAAACACCCCATTACTGGTGCATAAAGAACTGCAGAATCAATTGACATTTTGTCTTTTCGTAATCGAATCTTTCATCCATAAGGAGCAATTAGTGGTAGTGTTCTGCTACACAGAGCTTGAGTAGCATCAATCAGGCGATTGAATTTGAAGGTTTGAAATATCAGTAGCTCAACTTGATCACGTTCTAATCTTATACTGTCGCCTTTCTATTGCAACACTGCGGTTTATTGCTCCAAGACGAGGAGGAGGATTTTCAAAAAGCTCATATCTAGTCACTTTAAACATTGTTAGGGCCAACTTCAACCTTCTTCACTTAATTCCACCGAAATGAGGCTTCAGATTCAATATTCTTGGTGACATTTTTTGGACCTTATAATGAGAAGATCAAGTGCCGTACTTTTTGCCAACAACGAGCCATGGTTTATTGCGCTTCAGTGCACAACGACAAAGAAGTTTTAAGACAGCCTCTAAGTGGGGTTCACTGCTCCTTTATGATTTAGCCAATTTTGGTAGAATTTTGCTTTTGCGAAAAAAAGTAGCTAAAAACAGTGACACATCATCCCATAGCGCTGCATATGTGTGCTGACTTGATTTCCTTACATGGACTGCACATCACATAGAAGTGACACAGCTAATTATGAAACAAAATTTGAATTAGTTTGGAAAGGCAAAAAGAATGCGTATTATATTCAAAAGATGAGCAAAAAGGGTGGGGCCTGCTCTAGATGCTTTTCCCCTGGGACATTAGTAGAGAAAGTGATGACCATTATTCGATGACAGCTTGGAGAGGGAATGCGTTTTTTTCCAGCCTAATTCCCAATACCACTTTTTTGATCCAACAACTATTTTGGTGTAAGATTCGATACTTTTACCCAACTTAACTTTACCTAAACAAAAGCTCAACTTGCAGAACGAGCTGAATTTTGCCTTTATTTGTGGCTTCCTAATTGAACTGGAACAAAGAGCCAACTTTGTTGTTTAAATTCGACTTTAACGAGCGGATTTACTCATGCTTAACGGCAAACTATTCCAAGATAGGCGACAAAAGGGTATTTTTGCTCTGCACATATACTTTCACACTTTTTTTTAGGCCTGCGATCAAAACATTCAGCTCTGACAAAACTCATGGCCGACACAAAACGCCTTTACTCTAGCAAGTCTCCGCTTAACGTAACTGATCAGCTAATTCAAGCGTCTGATCTACGCGGGTCGGAGGATGGTGAAAATAATCTCCAATTTTCCCTCTTCTTTTGGATTCGCCAGTACCCGCACCTACCTCCCAACATACCTGGTGACATTCCAATTGAGGTCCTGTTCTACGGCAAAAATATTTTCGGTAGGCTCTTCTACGTTTGGGGCCTTTGATTTTGAGCGCTGGATAAAATGACCTTCCGAAATGACGCAGTTAATCTTGGACTGCATCCAGAAGCGCGAGATTTGCACCCCAAAATAATTGTAAAATCTAGCGATCTTTTGATAAGTATATTACGTAGTTTCGGGAAAGCGTTTTGAATTTGGCAAGTACCAGATCGTATATGCTATCGAACTCATTTAATTAGTTGATTTTTATTTAACACTGATCATTTAATGTAAATTTATAGCCCTTTTCTGTGCTTAAAGGAAGGTTTTTTTGGGTCCATCTAATTAGAAAGACCTTGAAATTCAGGGGTACTACTGTGACATGTCAAGACTACCTTGACGACGAAATAAGACATAATGCTGGGGCAGAGTATGTAATATCAGTGTACGAAGCGGCTGAGGGGCTACTGGCAAGGCCCGAAGGCCATGTCGCCTGGCGGAAGTACAATGGCCGTGCTCCTCAGTGCCTGCGTAAAGTTAAACAAGCAACCCGAGTAGTACACCACTATGATTAGTGAACCAAGCTAGATGCCCAGCCAAATGATTGTTCTAATGGTACGAGACTGCTACAAATTTAGTGATGTCTATGCTGGGTACGCTAAATCGGTGTTGTTCTAGACTACAAAGTCTCTACTTTGACGATCTCTAAAAGGGGAAGAGACATAATTGTTTGCCTGAAAAAGTTTTCCAATCTTCCGTCTACTTCATGGACATTCTCGTCGAGCTCGCACATTGTTGAGGAGGAATGGGTCCTAATGACAATCAACTACCAATCGAAAGGAAAAGAACAAAGTGTGAGTTCCTCATGAGTTGATAGGGTCTACTGAAGTTAAATTCCATCCATATTTCTTGAAAAAGACCTTTCCTGACTTCCCGAAAAGAAATGGATATAAGCCTTTATTTTATTTCGTAGAAGGACATTAGCAAATCTGCTTTCATCTCTTTAAATTGTCAACTTTGAGAATGCTCAAACAGCCTTTTAACCACCTCATTTAACATTCAGGGAACAGTTAATTTTTAAATTCTAGAGCTAGACTAACAAATGGCAAATTCGTTGGA